GTAACGAAACCCGCACTGCCTGCAAAGATTCGGCTTTGACGCTGGCCGCATTCTTTGTTCAGAAACCAAGACGACGGCCGACCACATTGACCACGACGATCCTGACGTGCCCTCCAACGACGGGAAAGCACACCAGATTCGGCCCCACCGACGCGCTGTTGCAACTGCCACCAGCTTCGCCACTGCCACCGACCACAACCATCATCTTCATTGCTGCAGTCAAATGACGTCGGCGCGCTACCTTGCCGTCGACGCGGGCGACCTGACGACGTGGCAGCTCGCGACATGCTGGGTCATCCTCCCGACTTCGCCATGGTACCGCGCCTGGCAGCTCTTCACGCTGATCGGCATCTACATAACGGTATTGCTCGAGCCGTTTGTCGTGGCGTTTGCACGGCAGTCGGCGCCCTTGATCGCCATTTGCTACACGCTCGACGCGCTCTTCATTGTCGACATGTTCCTGCGATTCCACGTGCCTTTCATCGAGGACCGCACAATGGTCATGGACGTGGCCAGGATTTCAAGGCGCATGCTCGCTGGCGATTTTTGGGTCGACTTGGCGTCGCTGATCCCGCTCGAGGCAATTGCGCCCGCCGTCGTCTTGCCCGGCGCACTGCCGACGCTCGCCGAGGCCGTGCTGCGCATGAACCGGTTGGTAGGTTCCGGGATTTGGGCCACGCTCTTGTTTGAGGGTTCAGCGGCGACCCGGATCGACTGACGGATGTTGCCGCGCTTCGTGGTCCAGATCCGGGTCACCCGCGTGCTCGCCTACTTTGAGCAGACGCAAAACGACCTCTACAAGTCGATGTGGGGCTTTTGCATCAAGTTTGCGTTTCTGATCTCGACCGTTTGCCACTGGTTTGCCTGCGTCATCTACGTTTCCGGGTGCGTGCCGCACATTTCTTCACGCCGGTTCCGAGCTTCTCCACTGACCCGTCGTCTTCTAATCCGCCGCGATCAGCTGCTACGACGACTGCACGGCGACGACGTCGCTCACCGACCGGTGGCCCTCGCGCCTGCTCCCGCGCGAGGACATTCGCACAATGCCGCTCATCTCGCGGTACCTGACCTCGCTCTACTTCAGCGTCTTCACCATCTCGACGACGGGCTACGGCCTCCCGACAGCGACCAACTCTGAAGAGCGCGTCGTTGCCATTGTCGGGTCGGCGCTGTGCAACTTTGTTTTTGGGTACTGCACGGGCACGGTCACGTCGCTCCTGACCAACTCGCGCGGTCTGCAAGTGCAGTTTCAGCAAAAGATTGAGGCTGTCAAGGAACATATGCAGCAGCGCGCGTTCCCGGAAGACTTGCAGTCGCGCGTGCTCGACTACTACAGTTTCCACCATTTGCAGACGGGCGGGTTCAATGCGGCGGATCTGTTGTTGCGGCTGCCGCCGGCATTTTACGCGGACGTGGCCATGAAGATGAACGAACAGCTCTTGCGCAAGGTACGCTCTTGGTCCACGAAATTGGTTGATGCGCTCTCGAGACTGACTGGGCGGGATTGATCCAATCTAGGTTCCGTTTCTCAGCGAGGCGTCGGTGCCTGTCATCAAGGCACTCTCGCGGTCGCTGCGCCCCGAGCTCTTCCTTCCTGGCGACCTGATGGTCACCAAGGGCGACGCGGGCAAGGACATGGTGCACATCCCACCCCCACGATCTCTCTCCACCATTTCTTCCCCGCACTCATCCTCCACTCCGCACCTCCAGTTCTTCATCCGCCGCGGCAAAGCCGAAGTTGTTTCTGAGGACCTTTCTGAAGTCTACGACGCCATGGGCGAAGGCACCTACTTTGGCGAGCTCGCGCTTTTGACCTCCGACGCAAAACGCACCGCCAACATCCGCGCGGCGACGCACTGCGACATTCGCGTGCTCGACAAGCAATCGCTCGACCACGTCCTCGCGCACTTCCCGGACCTGCGGCGCAAGATCGAAGCACACGCGCAGCACCGGCTCGACAGCGTCGAGTCGCGCCGGCGGTCGGACGAGGCCGCGTTCGGGCTCGATCCGGCCGCGGCAGCGGCCGCGGCCACGGCACCAGCAACGGCCGCCAATGCCGTACGCAATGCGCAGCTCAGCACGCGCCGGTCGGTGGCGAGTGTCGGGGACGGAGTGCCCGAATCCCCACTGAGGTCACCGAGGCTGTCGCGCGCGGTCGCGGCACCGCCGCCGCTGCTCGTGCGCGCGTCGCAGTCGCAGGGGTCCGGGGCCGCGAATGTGGCAGCCGCGGCGGCGGCGAATACACGGCCGTTGCCGCTCGCGCATCGCGCGTCGTTGCCGGCGACGTCGCTGGTCGCGAGACCGGTGGGTGCAGGAGCGGCTGGGCAGCATCGGCGGTCGATGGATCGCGCAGCAGCGGATGCCTCGGGTGTGCGCGATGGCGCGCAGCTGGGCGGCAGTGGGGCGGGTGGAGCGAGTGGTGGGCCGGTGGTGGAGTAGCGTGGAGCGGAGGAGTAGCGACGGGGATGGGGACTGTAGACTTGGATACGAAATTACGGGTATTTTGGGCGGGCAGTTTTCCTGACGGTGCCAATGTTCTTGCCCACATCAGAGCAAGCACCAAGCCAAGCGGTAGCCCTTTTGAACATCAACCAGAAACGAGTTGTGCATCGTAGCCGCTGGCGGGTAGCGCTTTCCGCATTCGGGTTCGAATCCGAATGCTGATAAACATCAGCAACTCACGTGATAGTCAGTGGAGTGGAACGAGACATACTCATTGCATTTTGCAGGTCGAACCAGTTATCCAAATGCCAGCAAGCATCAAAAACTATTGTCTCTTCATGGTTGAAGCCTTTTCCGAAAGATACCCAATCTCCACCCGGTTCTTCTCCGCCCTCCTAGACGGCCGTGTTCCCCTCCACGGGCCGGACACTCGCGGGCATGTCGGGCGTCACGCGCAGCTGCGGCACTGGGAACCGCAACGGCGAAAAACCGTGGTGGCCCGGACCGCCCTGCGGGCAGTAGCACCCGCACCAGGCGTTCGAGTTGATGGGGCCGAGCGAGGGCGCCGCCGTCACGCAATAGAACGCGTTCGACGCCGTTCGGCCGCACGCCAGCCGCGTGCCGTCAATCCATGCCTCGGCCTGCTCTCCAGCCGACACGTCCGGGCAGTCAAAGCGGCACGTGCCGCTGCACCGTCCGCTCAGCTCGGGCAGCGCATTTGAAATGGCGGTGCCCGGCGCCATAATTTGAAACGTGGCGGCGTCGACGTGATCGGCGCAGAAGCGGAGCGCGACCCGCGCGCCGTTGGCATTGGCTGGGAGGATGTCCGCGTCAGTGGCTGGTTGCAGCAGAAAGACTGGCGCCGAGTATCCGCAACGTACTATCAGATGCGCTGAAGCACCAGCTGCTGGGCCAATGTTCGAGGAGAAACCCGACGGCCCAATTGTACGACCACAATTGCGGTTCGCCGCCAGTGCTGGAGACAGGTCGGCCGTCAGCACTCAATACCAGTAGGGAACGAGACGATCACCAACCACTTCAGGAAAAGCAGGTCAGCTACGTGCCATTTCCAAAACTGAATCTTAGCGTCGTCAAAGACCTTGCCCTGATCCAGGTCCAGACAATACCGCACGCCGTTGTGCACGTGCGATATGGTCATGTCGTACCACTTCCCACCAATGTTGTCCGGATGCGGCTGCTCATAATACCACACGTCAAAGAGCTTGAAATCGAATGACCTCGCGTCAGTCACGCTCGTGCTGAATTGAGAACCTTGCAATTTGAACAACACGAACCTGATGATCAGCAAAAGCGTCCGAAGGTGCGTGGCACGTCCAAAGGCCCGCGCTTGCATAATTCCCGTCTGTATGGCCGTCGGAAACGAATCTGCTGTCAGTAAGGCTCGGCAACCGGCATGACAGGGAGGAAAATGCACGAACCGGCAGTCTCAGGGGCAAAGTCGAGGCATCGGCCGACATTGGCGCGCCCATTCGCTGATGGCGTCCGAACCCAAGTATTGGCGATAACCTGCCTGATGGAACCAGATCGAATGAGTGCGAGGAACGAGTTGAATTCATTCCACGATGACGGTCGTACCTCTCGAGCCACGCAGCGGAGCATGCCTGAGCTAGCGCGAGGATGATGAACAGGACGGCGACGCCCTCAGACTTCATGGCCAATCGTTGGTGTTGAAAGACAGCGTTGCAATCCGTTTCCTCACTGCCCGAGGGGCAACGCCGTGCTTTTATAGGCGCTCCATGTGGCGACGCCATGGCTCGTCCCGGTTGGCTGCTGCACCTTACACCCCTATGCATGGTTTTGCGCCTGCAGGTCATGGTGGCAACGCCGTCCCAGCATCATTTCCGCCCCAGCTTTGCAGTGGCGGCGCCGTGTTGAAAGACCTTGCGAATCTGGTCTGGATGGGGTGGCCGTCGCGACTGAAGCTAGTGCGAGTTTCTGCAGGCATTGTTGGGATGATGATATGGACAAAATGTATGTTTGAGCTGGGCAAAAGGAGGCACACATCTCCATGCCCGAACTGCCCAAAAGCGCCTCTCCAAATTCAAATCGATGCAAATCCAATCACTCCTGGTGGCGGCGACGCCCCGCAAGCTGAAGATTCAACTTTCGGCCATCCAGGGTTGATGTTGATCCAAATCTTGGAGCCGACAAGATGTCGAAACATTGCCTTCCTCACACCAGCAGCCAATAAATAAGTCGTGGCCGCATGTTGGACGGTCGGGAGATTGGCATGGTGCCATCATGATCTGAGTAATATAGGTTCGATTCCTATAACGGGTTAAGAGATCCCAAAGAGATAACATTTCGCCCCGAATGGGGGCTGACCGGGATCAGAAGAGACCCATCCCACCCCTCAGGGAAACTCCGGTTCTCGATGTACCTTCGGTACATCCTTCAGGTTTTTTTGGATGTAGAGACATCTGCGTTGTAGAGACATCTGCATTGTAGAGACATCTTCGTTGCAGAGGTTTCCGATCCATGAACGGGATCTATTTGATCTTGGACCTAAGTCCTGACTTGGTGTAGAAAGGATTTTTGGGGATATAACTCAATTGGTTAGAGTGTTGGCTTTGCAAGTCAAAGGTTGCAGGTTCGAGTCCTGTTATCTCCACACAGGACGAAGTTTTTTCTAAGTGTTAGGATGATTAGAATGAGAATCTACGATGACCTCAGAGAGTCAGAGATTTTCGTCGGGAATTCAGGCACGGGGTCTCAATCTCATAAGAGATCAAGATTTAGAGCCCCCTACTTACCCCCCCCCCCCCCCCCACACACACACACAGTGGGGGGGAGGAGTGAAGAATCAATGATTCTTTACAGATTACCGCAGAATGCCGAGAAGCACTTTGTGCTTGATGGCGGCAAACAGGCCTCAGATAATGCATTGTCTCAGGAGACAAGCAGTACCATGGTGATGATGCTCAGGTCGCAGCAAGTGACATGTTGAGTGTGTGGGTTCGAATCCTCATGCTGCACTGCTGCTGTCAATTTAAACTGCTGGAGGGCGGCATATGATTGCCGTTCCGATAATTTATGTTTGTGCCTCCATCATGAGCGCTGGGACCATATAAAAAGACATCGAAACCCTGTTGTGTGTTCAGCTGGTGCCAGCAGCAGTCAGTCTGAGGTCTTGGGAGTTGGAAATGATGCACCAGCATCATGGCATACTTTCCACGTCCAGAAAGTCGGACAGGCCGCTGGGCGCTCTCAGGGCTGGAAGGGCATGTATCACTGCACCTGGGGGTGGGACCGATGCACCAACAGGAGATCGCAAAAGCGCGGTGTCGCTTGGCTGATAGCTCCCTCATCACCATGAGCAGCAGTATCACGCATGAAATTCATCACAGTGAAAGCGGGAAAGCGCACTCATGCACAGTGTCCGAGTCCAAGATTTTAAGGCCGTGGGAGGTTGCTTACGCTTGGGTTTGAATCACAAGGTAGCTGAAAATATATGTCGTGAAGAACAAGGCAATTCGGCTGGACTTGCTGGGCGTTTTCTTGCGGGCCTCTCTGTAGACCTTTTGCTTCCAGTTGGGCGGAAGAAGCCCCTGCATCGCATTCCAGCAGCAGCATGGCCAAGGACATTGCAATGTGTTTGTGTTCGAATCCCAACATCGCGATAAATTGGCTTTTTTGCTTGTCGTTCTCGAGAACCCATGGAGTATGTGTGGGCACTAATTTGCTCTCAAACTTGGTGGAGCGCGAAACAGTACACTGAGGAGAACAATCGCTGCTGAGGGGTTCGGTAGGAAAACAATATTGCCTGGCTGCCTGTGTCAGAGACACGCATCGAGCTGCAAGCGCGCACGAAAATGCACACCTACAATAGAGTGCGAGAGCAACACCAATATGCAATTCTGTGAGAGTCAAATCATGACCAAGGCCTGCACAAGCCGGTGGGCCTTGTTTCCGCTCGGGTTCGATTCTCAACGTTGCTGATAATTGAAAAGCGCTTCAAGAAACTGATTCAAAATGATGCGCTCATCGCGTTCGGACTTTTGCAGATCTCATTGTTGAACAGGAGCACCGTCAAGCTACATGCATGATGGCACCTTCCTCAGCAACAGCACGGCCAATACGAGATGGCGTCTGGGCCTTCTTCTTGGGTTCGAGTTCCACTCTTGTTGATATTTCCGTCAGCCAGCGGCTAGACGATAAGGCACTCTCTTGTCGTGTAGAATTTGCCGCGAAAATTGGCTGAACTTTTTCCAGTGAGTTTGGCGCGATGCGATGGACCAATACGGCCATGTCAAGTTTGCTTGTCAAATCAAATCGGTTGCGCATTTTGCGCTGGACAAGCTGGTCGGCCGTGCGGCATCAACTATACCTGCCATTGTGCACAATATCCGTCCACGCATGGAAACGAGGCAAGGTGCTCAGCTTGCCACTTGCAGGCTGTACGGCCACTAATGCAGGTTGATCGAGCATGATGTGAGCAGCTGGACTTAGATGCTCAACTAGATGCGCGTCTTTGCGATAATGCCCGCATGAGACAATGACGGTGCTCCACACAAGCTGCCGAAACACAGCAACCTGGTTTGAGGAGGAGGTGGACTAACACTTTCGTGAGCGTGTTGGTCTTGATTGTCGTAAACCTTGATGGGGACATAAAGAGGTAGCTGGTGAACAGGCTGAATTGACCTTGGTGGACGCAGTTCTGTTGAGCCGCGTCCATTCACGTCGGTTCACCTCCGTCGTGACAACGCTCATCCCGCAATCGAACTGTAAACCATCATGTGCATCCATCCCCATCTCCGGAACGGTTTATTCCACGCAACTGCAAGCCCTGCGCAATAAATGGAGTCCCTCCCCCCCCCCCCCTACCCCCCATCTCACCACCGCCGCTGCCATCCATCACAAATCGGCCGGCAACATCCCCGCGACATCCTGCTTCGTCAACTCCTTGCGCAAATCCAATGCGTCGCCCAACGCCGCCCATTCGTCGAGCTGCAGCGTCGCCAAATGAATGCGCAGCGCCAACCTACACGGCGCACCGAAACCCATCAGTCCAAATCGCCGGCCCCACCCGATGACCGCCAACGTACCGAAATTCGAAATTAAACTCGGTCGCCTTGCCCGCGCGTCCCAACCACTTGCGCCCCCTGGCCAGCACCTCCGCCACGGCCTCCCCATTCTCTGCGCCAACCGCGACCTCCAGCACCGCGCGGTGGTAGGCCGCGAACGGCGGGACCCACGATTCCGAAGCCACGGTCAGGTCCTCGAGCACGTACTCGAGCGACCGCGTGGCCGCCACCGTATCCCCGAGCGCCTTCTCGATCGCGGCGAGGATCAGGTGCTGCACGGCGAGCGCGTCGTGGTCGGCGTCGCCCTGCGCGGCGAGTTGATCGAGGGTCGCGAGAACCGTCGCGCGGCAGGTGGCGAGGTCCGGGCAGGACATCATCGGGTAGGCGTTCCAGATGAGCAGCAGTTCTGCGAATTTCCACCAAGTGAGTCCAAGCGGCGAGCGCGAGCGGAGAGCAATGGACGTACCGAGGCCCGGGTTATACATATTGAACGCGTCCCGCCCCGCGTACAACTCGACCTTGCGCAAAATATACTGCTCCACGGAAATCACGCGCCCGCCGTACTTGCGTACCACCTTTGCCGGCGCGCGCTCCATGCACGCCCGCGCCCCCGTCACATCACCGGCCATCGCGCGGCACGCGCCCTCGGCAAACACGAAGAACGCCGGCGACCAGTAGGCCCTCTTCCCAAGGTCCGCAAATACGGCTGCCGCACGATCCCACTGCAGCCGCATCATGGCATTGATGCCTTGCTCGTAGGCGCAGAGCAGCGCGAGTTCCGGCCAGAGGGATTGCGCGGTGTAGGCGCGGTCGAGGTACAGGTCGGCTTCGGGGAGCAGGCCGGCGGTGCGCAGCGCACGCGCGAGCATGAGCAGGTGGAACGGCGAGGACGGGAATTTGCGCACCCAGGGAAGGAGTTCCCGGAGAGCGACGGGGACCATGGACGGGCCGAGGAGTTCGGGGGCGAATGACGAGTGGATCGCGTTGTACCCGGACATGCTGTTTTCGTCGAAGAGTGGTTCGGTGAGTGGGATGGAATTGTGGGGTACGGGGGGAGGAGGAGGGTGGAGGGGGGTACGGACAAGAGCGACGCGACGACGGCGCGTGCGCCGTTCGTCGCGCTGGCGGCGCGCAGCAGGTCGAACCCGAGCTGCTTGTTGCCCTTGACGCCCTGGAGAACGACGGCAATGGCGTTAGGTCAGATACGCGCAAGTCGAGCGGGCGCGAAACGAAGTGAATGAGTGCGCGTACCAGGATCGCAATCACCTTGAGCACCTTGGCCGGCAAGATCGAGAGGCCCATGTTGATCCCGCCGATCCTACACGCGCGTCGAAAATCGTCAGCTTCGCGCGCTCCCCCGCCGCCAGCCTCGCAATACGTACCCAAACAACACCCCGGACCGCGTATGCAAATCGATCCGCTTCTCGACCTCACCCTCCTTCACGCCCTTATTGTACTGCGCCCACGCCTGCGAGTAACTCTTTTGCGCCTTGCGCAAACACAGACCCGACCGGACCATGCCGAGAATCGATTCCTGGAACAGGTGCAGCGTCGATGACAGGAGTGCCGCCTCGGCGCGAATTACGGTCGACCGCATCTGGCCCGGTGCGAGTGGCGCCGAGTCGGACAGGCCCGTGGACTGCGCGAGAAACGAGGCGCCGCCGCGAATCCATTGCCCGAGTTTGGACCCGGTGGGTTTGGGCGTGGCGAGCTTGTATTGTGTCGAGGCGAGCGCTTCGGCGCGTTGCAAGGTGGACAGGGCGGCTTGGATCGCGTCGGGGTCGAAGGTGGTGAGGGCTGTCGTGCAGATCGCGCGGGACGGGTGGGTGAGGGTGGAGATGACGCGTAGGTTGATTGAAAGGAAGAAAGGTACCCTTGAGAATGGCAAACAGGCCGTCGGCAAGCGCAAACAGCGCGTCCTCGGCGGATTTCTTGCGCATGATGGCGTGCGCCGCGTCAAACTGGTTTTGGAAAAACAGGTCGATCTGGAACCGCGTCGCGTCGCAATGGGTCCTTGTTAACAACACGGTTCATTCCCCACCTACCCCCCCCCCCCCCCCATCGACCATCACAACACGCACCCCAACGAGCACCTCGGCATCGTGCTGCTCGAGCTGCTGGACCGAGAGCGCGCCAATGTCCTCGACGCGCGCTTCTTCATCTTGCGTCAGCTGCATGCTGCCGACGCCAGAGGCGGCATCGTCGTCCTCGTCAGTAATCGGGAAGGTGGCGGCCAAATCGTCGGCGTTGGCCTGGCCGATGCGGTTGGCGAGCTGCTCGTCGAGCGGCAGGTCGCTTGCTGCGGTGCGGGGCGGCGTTGTCGGGCGGCTCCTGCGGGTTCGGGTGCGGAGTGGGGCCGGGTCAGCCTTGACGGGTGGAGCGGCGGCGCGCCGTGTAGCATGCATTATCGAGCAGCATTGGGATCATCAAGACGGTGGTACATGTTGGTGCTGGTGTTGGTGTTGGGTTGGCAAAGAGGTTGAGCTAAGTCGTTACCAAGCCCCGTCGCGGGGGCGAAACCGTCGAACCGGTCGACTTTGGTTTGCAAGCGGGTG